TGTCCTGCAAACACAACATTTTATTTATGGAATGTGTAATATGGCTGATTTTATTAAATGATGTCACTAATATCAGTATTAGTTTGTTCCTGTAGATTCCTATGCAACAGGACTGCAAATGCACCCAGTCAAGCACTATATGACCTTCCCTCTTTACTTTGTTTCACTTGACACTAATTGCAGATTTGAATGAATTGTCAGACTAAAAAATGATCCATGAGCATGTAAAGGATGCAATGAGATAAATAAGCATACCACATAGTGTAGCAAGAAGGTTGTGTCACTAAACTGTATAATCATTGTAAATAAAGAACAAAGTCATTCATTTATTTTCCATCAGGCAGGAAACGTTTGCAGGTAAACCATAAGTCCCAGTAGCTGATCATCTCATTTATCTCTGTAGTTATGTTCATGTCAGCCAACAGCAGGTCAGAAAACAGGACGATTACTTTTTGTTTTGGTGCCATCTAGTGGTAGTGGTTAGAAACTTCAACTAATGCTTCATGCATTTCACCTGGAGTTTGCCTCTGCAAGTTTAAAGCTTTTGCATTTAAAAAAGGACTGAAGGTAAGCTTCTTTTTTAAAAAAAAAATTGTAAATAGGGAAGAGTCTAAACATTTTACCAGTGCCAGAACAGGAAACTTGTCAACAACAACGATGTGAAAAGGAGCTAAAATATTTCCCACTTATTATAATTATAAGAATTATAAATCCTTTTGGTCAAAGAAATTCCGTCCTCATGTTTTCATTAGCTATATTTTATTTCCATCATTTAAACTTTTTATTTCAGTGTCATTTCCAAAGGATTTATTGTATTCATATTCAAATACAATAATATACTCACTCCCACCCGCATTCCACTGTGGAGATAGCCTGGCAAGCCAGACTAAATAAATGTATTATTTAGTCTGGCCTTGCTCCATTGACGGCTCTCGGTTCTGGGGCGGGTTCTACCGTTGTCTTTCAAATGATCTCCGCATTCCACTGGACAATGAATGTGACATACTCTTGTTTCACTCTGTTGCATCATCCCACCCACCAGGCATATAGAGTGCCCTGATTGGCCCACAAAGCGGATGAAGCTCTGTGATTTGTTCACTAAGCAGATAGAGCACTATTGGCCCACCATTATGGACCAATCACAGCTCTTTATGTGTTTGAAACCCCTCTAGAGAGCTGTGATTGGCTAGCCAGAGTCCTGGTAGGAGCTGCTGAGGTTCCAATGGAGCATGCCTAGACCAAACTTTGCAAAGCAAGAATTTGGTCTAGTTCACTAGGCTACTGTGGAGACCATGGACAGCTCCTTCAGTGTAAGACTGAGACATAAGAGATGTAAAACAGAATGCTACCGTAGGTCATTCATCCCCTCTGCAGTTTGGGGGTATAACTCCTCAGTTTAACTGGTACTAGTATTATCCTGTTACACAATAACATCAATGCAATATTAAGTATGTGTTCAATAGCTTTGTGCAATTACATATGCCTGTGTCCTTTATGTTGCATAGTTCTGAAAACAAACATTTTTCTTTTTATTTGTTGTTTTTAGTGCTTGAAGCTTATTTTTTGTGTGTGTTTACCCGTAATCTTGTTATTTTCTTCTTCCTTTTCTCAAAGTGAAATTTCAGACACACAGCGTGTGAATGTGTGTTTGTGAATGGGTGAAAGACTGATTGTGTTGTGAAGCGCCTTGGGAGGCGGTAGAACCCTAAGAAGGTGCTATATAAATACAGGCCATTTACCATTTAAGTGCTGTAGCAAGTGAATTTCCCCACAATGGGATTAATACATTCTATTCTATTCTATTCTGTTCTGTTCTATTCTATTAGAGATGTGGAGGCGGAAGGGTCTGAAAAATGTTCCATAAAGCTGTGTTATGTATGTATGTAGCAGCGTTACTTTTGGCAATGATTACCGGTAGACGTAGCGATTACATTTATTTTAAAGGGGTTCACTGTTCCTGGGCTTGCTTGACCATCATCTGCCTCTCCTTCCATCGCTTCACCCCCAACACTGTTTATTTTGTTTACTTGAGTTTATGGTGCTGGTAAATAATAATAAATAAATGGGTAAATAATTTGGTAATTAATAATAATAATAGGTTTGAACATCACAGGAGCTTGCTGGTTGCAGTTCCTCTAACGGCCACATGGTGCACTCCGCTGCAAACCATGCAGTGCAGCTCTAAGAGTTTACCTTCACATGTAAGACTCTTAAAATATTGAATAATTTTTCAATAAAAACTTGCTTCATAATCAAACATAAGCTATCCCTGGTTTAAATTTGCAGCATAGTCATCATCCAGATGTACTGATTTACTAAACAAACCTAAACATTTGTTTAAAGTGGCAATGTGTATTTTCCTGGTGATAGGGGGCAGTACATACCCAAATCACTGCAAGTAAGCAGTATTTTTGTGTTCAAGTAAGACCTTACCAACAGATGACCTTTAGAGTCAAAAGTCCCTGGGGGCACAACCTCCAGCAAAATGAAAAGCTCATCAGACTCCCTTTCATCACGGGCAATGACTGGAGGTAAATGTCTAAAACAACAACGTTTATGAACGGTGAATATTTTGTAACTATTTGTTACAAATTAGTAAATAAGTTTTGTCCTTACGGGCTCCCATAGAAGGTAACATGATGCAGCGTCGCCCAGAGACGACCTGCTCCCACGTATTTTAGACCTGATTTCAGTGATTATGATGTATGTTACAAAGCCGCCAATATTTTTCAACAACTGGGCATCATTTTATTAATTTTTAACAACATTTTGATGTATTTTTCCAGATATTAATGGTAAAAACTACACATTGTCACTTAAGCCATCAGTGTCAATCAGTCATCCTTGATTATCTTGTGTCCTCATGAATTACAGCCAATCTAATCTCTGATCTTCACTGGTTATTATTTGTTCTGCTGAAAGCCACAGGAGGGGCTTTTACCTAAAATGGCAGTTATAGCTGAGATATATGAGAGTACTTATTACCACTAATGGTTGTGGCGCAGCTTTTATAAAGTCCAGAACTGCAGATCAAGCCCAGAGACAAGCCAGTTTTATGATCCGTTCATTTAACTCATTCTGTTGTTTATGGTTCTGATGGGACTCTATGCCTGCTGTGGTTGGTTTTAACTAAAGCAGCATGCTTCTGACCTTGAAGGTGCACCCCTTTACAGCATCTTTACATCATCTCAAAATCAGAGCCTTCTATATTATACTTTTATGTGATTTCATCCTGTGGTTCTGAAAAAAAGGCTACAAAAGGGACATCAGACCCTCGCCACCCTGTGCTGGAATCGATAATAAAACAAGATGTGGAAAATAATAAGAAACACAAGGGACTGGAGGCTGAAGAGATTGGAGGTGGGAGTGAGACAGCGAGTGGGGATAATTGATGGTGGCCACGGCGATGGCAGAGATGAGGTCGTTTGTCTCTGAGAAGAAGAAACGAGGATGGGAGCAAAACGAGCGGTCTGCAGATGGAGCTGGCAGCTGGCCAGGTGGTGGACAAGGACGTAGGAGAAACTGCTGAAATTTGTCACAGTGGCTGTTAGCCTTGTTGATGATGAAGACATGAAGCTGAGCAGATGGAGTTTAGACTGGAGACATTGTAGAAGTCTTTAATGACAGCTGGTGAATAGAAGTTAATGTTTAATTATTGAGAAGAAATCTATTTTAACTTGTTCTTGTTGGTTGCTAAACCCATAGATGTGAAAATAGCACAACAGCTGAATGTGTCTGGTACTGTTGGTGTCCTGCTGCATCACAGATGGCAGCCAAGCCATCTGGAAAATGTCTAAATTTGTGCCTAAACCTTGTGAATCTCACAAGCTAAACATCTTCACACGTTTACCCGAGAATCTTATAACTGACATTTCTTACATTTTTCTAGAAATTACATCATTGATTTATTTACTGAAATCATTTAGCTGATGTTTTTTCTGATGTTATTACAAATCCACCCGGCAGGGGGCACAACGACATTACACTTGCTCCATCATTTAGTAAAATTACATTCCTATGGAGATAAATTAAATTTTGTTCATTTTTTTCTTTTGGTCTTTGCCCAGAGGCTCTTCAAGCACAGTTGGAAAGTAGATTTTTGTTCTCAGGTAAATTTTTTCTGATATAATTAAAAAATGTCTTTATAATTGCACCAGTCTGCATGCTTTATGGCAGGGGTCACCGACCTTTGTGCAAGGGGCTGCAGGTTGATACAATACTGACCTTTGAACTAGAATAGATCAGAGTTAAACTGACTTCATATATTCCGTTTTATTTTAGTTGTTTCATTATAGTTGTTAATTTAATGGTTTCATTGGGTCTTTTGGTGTATTTTTACTGGACTTTCATTACTTTTGGTTGTTGTATTCTGATGGTAGTTTTAACTGCTTGGTTTTATTGTTGTTTTTACTATAAATTTTAATTGTACAGTGACCTTGGGTGTTTGAAAGGTGCCTGAAATTAAATGTATTATTATTCCATCGGGAACTTGGCAGTTTTGGCTTGCTTTTTGCACCCTCTAGTGTCCATTTGTAGAACCAAAACATTCCATCACCTGGCTGTGCGTTCACCTTAATAAGCCTTAATCTAACAGCTGAAATGTCTCCCCAACCTTCCTGTGCATCATTAAACTGAGATTGACAGATTGAGGTAACCTTAAGTCCTCGAGATTAACCTGTTAGTCAGTGTATATGGTGAGGGATTAGGGGTTAAAGGTTGAAGGTCATGGGCCACAAAGATGAGCAAAGCAGGACAGACAGGTCTCAACAAGCCTGCTTCTTCACCCCGAGGGCGCTGTGTTGTTTATTCTTTACAAACGGCGTATGGAACACACAGTACAAAAAAAAACACACAGCTAAACATAATAAAAGTAAAGTTAAAACATCTGCTATTGATTTATTTATCAAACTCATTTTGTTTATTCAGACTCTACCTTTTTGTCATGTTCTGAGGTATGTGCTTAACCCAAGACATGCAGAATCAGAGACCAGAGACAAGTATGATGGTAAAAAGGTAAAATGATTTATTATTAACAGGAGAACTAAGGGCGCACTGAAGTCCAGCGGTTTTCAGAATCCAGAAGCAGCGTCTACAGGTAAACAGAGGTGAGTATGGGTTTTGTAGTTCTAGGAGATTTTATATGTAGTCGGACTTACTATGCAGAAGAGGAGTTGGAGTATGGAAGGGAAGTGAGCCGGGGTGATATCCAAGATGATGGGTGAGTCGGAGAATGAGCGAGGATATTGATCCGGAGAGGGAGCGTGAGCGAGGTGGAGAGCGGGTCGGCAGGCGGAGGAGATAAACAGGAACGAACCAGAGATTTCCTTCCAGAATCAAGAGCGAGTAATCCGAGGATCCAGGAACCTGTGGTGAGTATCAAAAAAACCACATGAGCGAACAATCCAAAAACTCAAAAGGACACGAATATTTAGAGCAAGTAGAGCGAAAACTCGGAAGGGCAAGCGACTACCAGTTAGCGGCAATCATCCGGCCTCCTTATAAAGCCGGCCCGCTGATGAGGAACAGCTGTCGCTCCCTCTCCTACAATCAGAGCTCAAAGATTGTGAGTGAAGTGACGAGTACTCACCCCGGCTCATGACACCTTTTAGAAGAAGCAAGACTGAGAAATGGTGGATAGGTGAATTTTACCGTATTTTAGACACAAAATGATTTAAATATCAACTCCCAGCATCTGCTGGATTTTAAAATTGTCTAACTGTCTTAGAAAAACTTTTTGTTTTGATTTCTGTTCTTTGAGCATATACATAACATCTGATAGTTTGTTGGGGCTCAAAATGGCCCAGAAGCCCTCATAAATGGTCGAACATCGTTGTGCTGCCTCACCGCTCAGGGCACAACAACCTTAAGTGGTAAATCAATTTGTGTCTGAAGTCCTCCGGCAGAGAGGGATCAGAGCAAAGACTTGTTCTCCAACAAAAACAATAATGTTTTTATTAATCTGAATGGAGCGCCGTATTAAAATTTTATATTTAATCTACTTTTAAAACCAGCTCTGCCGGCTGCTAACTAGTTTCCGTCAAATTGGGGATGAGTGAGCGTTTCAGAGCGAGCGCGTTTCCCAGCATTTTTTTGTTTTCAACATGAGAGACAAAGTGAACGCCACAAAAGAAGAATAAGAATAAGAAGAAAATATCATTTCTATAGCGCTTCTCAAGATAAAAACACGAGGCACTTCACAAAAACAAAAAATGTAAAAATTTAAAAATAATTTTGAAAATGGTTACAAATATATTTAAAATGAGCAAAAAATAGACAATTGTGATTTAAAAATTGTTAAGAAAGAGAGAGAATGATTAGGAAAGAGGGAAATCAGTGGATCCTGAGGAAGGTGGAATAGGTGGGGAGAGCAGAATAAAGAGAGTGGTGAAGAAGGTCATACAAAAGCCAGCTTGAACAAGTGAGTCTTCAGCTGCTTTTTAAAGGAGTCCACTGATCTCAGGCTCAGGGGGAGAGAGGTCCAGAGTCTGGGGGCCACAGCAGCAAATGATCTGTCACCTTTGGTCTTAAGCCTGGTGCGCTGCACAACCAGTAGGCTTTGATCACTGGACCTTAGGGACCTGCTGGGGTGTAGGGACTAAGAAGATCACCAATGTAAGATGGTGCTTGTCCATGTAGGGCCCTATGGACCAGAACCAGGATCTTGAAATGAACCCTGAAGTTGACTGGCAGCCAGTGAAGCTGGAGGAGAAGCGGGGTGATATGGGTGTGTTTGGAGGACTTGGTCAGAAGCCGAGCACAGGCATTCTGAACCACCTGTAGACGGTTCAGGGAGGTTCTGCTCAGACACGTGAAAAGAGAGTTACAGTAGTCTAAGCGTGAGGAGATGAAGGTGTGGAGAACTGTCTCAAGTTCAGAGCGGGACATAATGGGACTCAGCTTAGCAATGTTCCTGAGATGGAAGAAGGAAGAGCGAACAAGAGAACTGACATGAGAATCCAGGGTGAGAGCTGGGTCAAAGGTCACAACAAGATTCCTGACGGAAGGTTTGGTGTGAGAAGCAAGCTGACCAAGAGAGTCTCTGACTTTGGGAACCAAGCTTGTCTGGGGCACAGATGAGGATCTCAGTCTTATCTTCATTCAGCTGTAGAAAGTTCCCAGCCATCCAGGTTTTAATGGAGTCTAAGAAGGTGTGTAATAGCTGCAGCTTAGACATCTCATGGGGCTTAAAGGAGATGTACGGTTGGATGTCATCTGCATAAAGATGGTAGGAGATTCCTTTGAAGGAGCTCAGGATGTGCTGAAGAGGGAGCAGGCAAATGAAACCGCATATGATGAAATAAAAGTACCCTGGCAATTCGGCCAACTATCAGTAAGTAGAACGCATGAAAACACAGGTGGAGAAAGTCAGCGCGGACCTGATTAGGCACCTGAAATCCAGTTTGGGCCAATTTCCATCAGAATGGTTTAAAAGTGTTGAACGCGTTTAATCAAAACACGTGAAGTGGCCTCTAGTAGGCATTAATGCCTTGTAGGTCGTACTCTGAGGAAACAAAGCACTAGTGCACCATTTTCAGAAACTAGAAGCGAGCCACATCAGAGAGATTCAGACTTGATTTGGGGTCTTTTTTTCCTGATATTAAGACATCTCGTCACTGACTGGCAACACGACTACCACTGACTCTGTTTGCTCTGCAACGTTGACGTTTTATCTCCACAAAATAACACAAGCCTGGAGGAGTTCTGCTGTGTGGTGGTGTTGCTAATGCTAATGGTTAGCTTCTACTAGCTGAGATGTTCTCTGCTGTTTCCTGGGTGCTAAACCAACAACAGTCTTCCCCGTCGTGAGTCAAGATGGGTGAGTCCATGAATGTTAAGTGACAGGGTGACGTAGATCTGTCAGGCTTTTCTAATCCTAGAGTTTTACCGTCTGTTTTCTATCAGAAGCTAATGCAGGAGATAGGTGTAGGAGACTATTTTCATGTTCAGCTTGCATGAAAAACCCAGAGTGACTCGTTATAATTAGGAATAATTATCAAAAATGGGTTTTCAGTGTTCCACACCTTTAAGAAATTACAAGAAACCTTCAAAATAAAAGCTCGTAGGACAGTAACACAGAAGAATTGTGTTTTTGATTTCTCCCAAATGTGACTTAAACCTCCCAACCACCCGCTGCACCCTTAAAGTACTCATCAATCCCTATTAGAGTTATATATTTAGACATTTTGTACATAATTCTTTTTTTTTCCTCCCATTTAAAATGAACATTTCGGAAATTGTGCCACATTTCCAGGATTTTTGATGCCACTCCACTGGAGGTGCATGTCTTAAACAATGTTGACGAGCAAAAAAGCAAAGTTGATTTCTAAAATAAAGCAAACAAAGTAATTTTTCATGTCTCCCACTCCAGACCAGCAGGTAAGTAATAAAACATTTTACTGATAAACAGAAAACAACCTGAATGTTTTAGGATGAAAAAAAAATCTTCTTTGCTTAGAAAGTGTAGAGATTCTTACCTAAGGCATGCGGTGTTAGTTTCAAATGTCTGAATGAGGTTCTGGAACTCTTCCTTCCCTCGCTGAATGATTTTCTGCTGAGTGGCGAGGAGGCTATCGGCGCTGGAGATGCGGCTGCTCTCCTCCAGATCGCTCAGCCGCGCGTTCAGCTCCACCTCCTTCAGGAAGTATTCATGCTCCATCAGTGACACCTTAAGGAGGACAGAGGAGGACGAGGGTTTACTTTAGAAGTTATTGACCCCACCGTACCAGTCCAGACGGGCAGATCTGTGAGGCTTGACCTGCCCGTCTAAAGTGGACCAGAAATTTCCAAAGGTCTGTTTGAATCTAAGATTGCTTTTAAAAAATTAACTTGTTCGTTTTCTGACACCCATCCAAAGCTGGGTTGCTACGGTAACAGATCCAAGCAGAAATTCCCTGCTAGTGTTTGGGATACAAAATGTTTCCAGATCAGAGAGGACCTATTTATCTCACCCCCAACAGAATGTAACCAGGAGACATCCTGACAGACACCAGAACCACCTCCATGTGGAAGAGCAGCACAGCTGAACCTCCATCGTATTGTCTAAAATATTGGGATACCCCACCAAAGGAAAGGGCCTTCATGTTTTCCAATAGGGACATAAAGATGTCCAATCTTCCTCTCCAACATCACTCTGAAAATGCTCCTCCGGAACGCTGGTCAGAGATTCCCATGAACACCCAAAACCACGTGGAAAGCCTTCCCAGAGGAGTGGCAGCTGTGACAGCAGCAGAAGGACCAACATTACGGTAAAACCTAAAGATTCAGCTCATTTCAGCTGCTTATGTCTGGATAATAAAACTTTCAGTGGAGTTAAAATGGTAAAAGACACAGACGTAAGCGGTATCCCTCGGATTTCCACCTGATTACCGTCTGCTTGGCTTCATTTTGGATGAGCATCGTAGCATTGCGGAGCTCGTTCATCTCTTTGTGTAGCTGCACATTTTCCTGCTGCAGCTGCAGCCGCTCATCGCTGATGCCGACGCACTCATTCCGCGCCGCAGCCAGATCACGCCGAAGCTGCTGCACCTCCTCGCTGTACCTACAAGCAGACAAACAAGGGTTTAACCTCCTGCTCACGATAAAAGCAGCCGCACAACACTTAAGCTACACTTACTCCATCTCCATTGTCTTCATTTCGTTCTGGGTGCTCTGCAGCGTTAGGCCGAGGTCAAACTTCAGCCTCTCGGCATTCAGACACCTCTGATGAAGGGCATCAATACTCCCCAACTCTAGCTCTGCCCTGCCCTCTTTGTACACCTGAAAAGAATCACCACAGGCTCTCGCCAATGCCGCTACCCATTCACAGTCGCACCATCAAACAGCAGGCACCTTCCCAGTACACTGAGGATTTCATGGATACCTTCTCCAGTTTCTTCTCTAAAGCTTTTCTCTCATGCAGGGACCTTTCAATCTCAGACTGCTTATCTGCACACTCCTGGGTTGGAAACCAGAACAAGGGTTGACAGGGAAAGGGTTTGTTGCAGACAGAAGTAGACAGGCAGATACTAAAGAAAAAAAAATACAGTTTAGAGTGATTTTGAAGGAAAATCCCTCTAGAAGAGCAGGTTTGTACCATCTGCAGCGCAAACAGCTCCTCTGTAATTTGCTCGACTTGGACGTTGCACTGTTGACGCACACTATCCACCTGGTGGAGCAAAAAAAAAAAAAAAAAAGAGGCACATTTTATTCATGTCGCGTGCCCGTCCCATTTACCGGTTCCTTTAAAACCCAGTTCCGTTAGAACTTATGAGACGGTGCATCCATCAGGGTTCGGGGGTGTATCGACGAGTATAATCGTACTAGATCCGGGTTTGGACTATCTAATTAGAATCTTGTCTTTTATTTTAAAGGTGAAATGACTTGCACGAATAGCCAGCCCCAGAGTGCTACACTTCTTTTAAACTCGTTACCTTTTGGTTAAGATACTAGAGAGAAGTCTGGAGGCAAGCCAAGCCTCTCAGCAATTGTTTGGGCTACCCGGAATTAATTGCGCCTCTAACAGCTTGTGTGGGAGGTTGGCAACTATAAAATGATTTATGCTAGTTGATCAGGCTATCATAAGTTTATCAATGTATTTATTAATCCAACCTTCCAGCTGATTAGAGACTTTTTCAACCTGCAATCAGAGCCAAAATAACCTCGAATATTTTGCTTTTATCGCCCTTAAGACAACTCGTTACTCGCAAGGAGGGGGAAATTAAAACTTCCCTTATCTTAAGGTTTCTTTATATTATTCTGTTATAAACTGTAAAGTAAGTCCTGATAATTCAGAGACCGATCTTCGACATGCTTACCTCTGTGCAATTTATGGCCAGGGCCCCAACCGTGAAGCTTTAGAGAAAACCTGAAAGAATCAGGATTATGTTTCTTTTTCAAAAAAGGTTTATTACAAAATCAAAATACAAAAATGGGTAAAGTGAAAAACAACTACTATCCCCCACGGAGGAATTAGTTCAAAATGATTAAATAAGAGTCAGTTTACACCAGCTCTTGTCTTCTCAGAATCTCCCCAAGAACGAAGCCTGTCTAGCTCTGCTTCTCTCCAAAAAACTGCCTGTCATCCCCCATCCAGCAGGACGGGGGATGACCCCTCCAAATCTGCTCTGTCTCTTCTTGTCCTCTGCCCCAGCTGCTGTCGAATCTCTCAATCCCCCTCTGCTGTTCAGAGCTGTTCTTATATACCCTTCCTGGACCAGCTTAAGGTCATGGGGTCATTTACCAGATACACACTTTGTAGCTCAACACAAAACATTTGGTGTCATTTTCCTTCTTAACACAGGTCATTGCATCATCTTTTGCAGCATTCTTCAGTTTCTCTCCAATGTTCCCGAGAGGGCTTCTGGATCTGATGGGCTTGTCTTCATTCTGTTCTCCTCCAATCCCATCTTTCCAAGCCAGGGGTGGGGCAAAGAGGTGGGGTCAGTCTCCTGACCCTTCGTCCAGTTCTGTCCTCTTGTCCCTGTGACCCTTGTGTGACCCTTGTTTCTGACCACAGTTTTTTTGACCTGCAGCCCAGCTCCTGTCGACTGGCTGATTTTGCTCGCACAAGCCAGTCCAGTGTGGCTCACCTTCTGACCCCGTACTTGCCACTGTCTTTGGCATGTGGGACTCGCAACATCCCCCATGCGAGAAAAATCTAGCCAGGGGACTGCAACAGCCTTCTTTGGGGTGGGGCTGCCTCCTCCTCTGGATCATCTTCATCTCCAGTCTCAGACCCAGAGTCTGACTAGCTCAGAGTCCAGATACACACCATCATCATCATCATCATCACTCACTTCAGTCTCTGAAGAACCAGATGTTTGTTCATGAGGGTTCAGAACTGGGTTCCTGCTTCTCCACCAGTTTCTACTGCCATCTGGTCAGCTGAGCTGCTGGTTGGAACATCTCAGTCTCCACCTTCAAGCAGAGACTCTCTCCCTCCAGACTGAAGACATCTTTTACTGCAGAGCTTCAAATATTCTCCTCACACACCTGAACAGCAACAAGCTAACTCTGCTTGTAGCTGCAGGTGGGAAGCTTACGCTAAAAACAATAAAGTGTGGCAAGGTGGATTAATGAGGGCCCGGGCGGGATTCGATCCCGAGATCCCCAGGGTGGGAGTCATACGCTCTAACCACTCAGCCAAAGGGACATCCCCTTAGCCAACTGGCCAGTATGCATTATCAATCAAGACATTGTGACAGAACGCTCACACTGTCACACCTTCCCCCCTCTTTCCACCAGCGCGTCCTCGTACTCCCGCGCAGGGTGCCACAAACTTCACATCCATGGACCTACTTGACAGTACTACATGGATCCTGCCAACAACACCAAATGTGGCAAGGTTAAAAATGCTTACGCCTTATTAGTGTAGCTGTCTGTCAGGTCAGAATCATACGGAGCTGTTAGTTCAGGACTATCCCTTCTCAACAGAACTAGTAGGGGGAGGGGTGATGTCACCACATCCTGCTTGTCTGTTGTTGCTCAGCTGACTGAGTGCTTTTTCTCTGTTCAGCTGTGGCTTCTCATATCTGCAGGCTGCCGAGAGCGGAAGCTAGGTGCTTGTTTCAAGCAGATCCTCTAAAAACAAAGTTTAATTGGAGCAGAGTTCCAATGCTCCCAGTTATAAGTCCGTCCTTTACAGGCGGCACGGTTTCTCCCCTCACGGAGCCCTTAAGCACAGAGGTTCACACATTAAACATGTTCCCGGCTTCTAGCCTCCATTGCGCGTGACGATGCCCGACATGAGATTCTATGAAGCTAGGAAACATGATTACTTTACAGTTCGTGACAAATACCTCCCCGTGTTACCAGAAACGAGGCCCAAGTCACACAGATTCTTACATATCAGTCCTTCACTAGATTTTGATCCAGCCATGACGTTTAATCGCATCTCACTTGTGCCTCAGCACCCGGACAGCGCCCCGCCGCAGCTCCATACTAGCTTTTCCAGCCTCATTCTGAAAGCTCCGGTTACAGGATATTGAAAGATCTATCTGCCATGGCTGGTTAAAAGTTTTTCTTATTCTTTATTTATTTTTATTTTTTGCCTAGCTTTTATCCTTGGCTTTTCTTGCGTCGGAATGCCGTATTTTCTTTATACCTTTTTAAGTTGATCGTCCGTTCTCCCAAATTTCTTTCCTTTTCGAGAAATTGGTGCGGTTTTCGCTCCAAGGTTATAAGCGTATCAGGTCCATAATGCGTAAGCTTTTATCAGCCTAAAAGACATAGTTCTACGTCGAATAGTCCGGTATCTAATATTTGAACCTTCGCCGATTAGTCCCACGTTGCAGGCGCCATGTCGCGTGCCCGTTCCATTTACCGGTTCCTTTAAAACCCAGTTCCGTTAGAACTTATGAGACGGTGCATCCATCAGGGTTCGGGGGTGTATCGACGAGTATAATCGTACTAGATCCGGGTTTGGACTATCTAATTAGAATCTTGTCTTTTATTTTAAAGGTGAAATGACTTGCACGAATAGCCAGCCCCAGAGTGCTACACTTCTTTTAAACTCGTTACCTTTTGGTTAAGATACTAGAGAGAAGTCTGGAGGCAAGCCAAGCCTCTCAGCAATTGTTTGGGCTACCCGGAATTAATTGCGCCTCTAACAGCTTGTGTGGGAGGTTGGCAACTATAAAATGATTTATGCTAGTTGATCAGGCTATCATAAGTTTATCAATTTATTTATTAATCCAACCTTCCAGCTGATTAGAGACTTTTTCAACCTGCAATCAGAGCCAAAATAACCTCGAATATTTTGCTTTTATCGCCCTTAAGACAACTCGTTACTCGCAAGGAGGGGGAAATTAAAACTTCCCTTATCTTAAGGTTTCTTTATATTATTCTGTTATAAACTGTAAAGTAAGTCCTGATAATTCAGAGACCGATCTTCGACATGCTTACCTCTGTGCAATTTATGGCCAGGGCCCCAACCGTGAAGCTTTAGAGAAAACCTGAAAGAATCAGGATTATGTTTCTTTTTCAAAAAAGGTTTATTACAAAATCAAAATACAAAAATGGGTAAAGTGAAAAACAACTACTATCCCCCACGGAGGAATTAGTTCAAAATGATTAAATAAGAGTCAGTTTACACCAGCTCTTGTCTTCTCAGAATCTCCCCAAGAACGAAGCCTGTCTAGCTCTGCTTCTCTCCAAAAAACTGCCTGTCATCCCCCATCCAGCAGGACGGGGGATGACCCCTCCAAATCTGCTCTGTCTCTTCTTGTCCTCTGCCCCAGCTGCTGTCGAATCTCTCAATCCCCCTCTGCTGTTCAGAGCTGTTCTTATATACCCTTCCTGGACCAGCTTAAGGTCATGGGGTCATTTACCAGATACACACTTTGTAGCTCAACACAAAACATTTGGTGTCATTTTCCTTCTTAACACAGGTCATTGCATCATCTTTTGCAGCATTCTTCAGTTTCTCTCCAATGTTCCCGAGAGGGCTTCTGGATCTGATGGGCTTGTCTTCATTCTGTTCTCCTCCAATCCCATCTTTCCAAGCCAGGGGTGGGGCAAAGAGGTGGGGTCAGTCTCCTGACCCTTCGCCCAGTTCTGTCCTCTTGTCCCTGTGACCCTTGTGTGACCCTTGTTTCTGACCACAGTTTTTTTGACCTGCAGCCCAGCTCCTGTCGACTGGCTGATTTTGCTCGCACAAGCCAGTCCAGTGTGGCTCACCTTCTGACCCCGTACTTGCCACTGTCTTTGGCATGTGGGACTCGCAACATTCATAGCAAAGTGAAAAAACAGCCAAACTAAAATGCAACAATCTATCCCCAGATGTTGCCCTGACTGCACTTCCATGTCAATTAAGGTCTAATGAGCTTTGAAAGAAAAGCGCTTTTCTTTCAAAGCTCATTAGACTACAATGACCTGGATGACTGAGAACCTTCACAGACATGTTAATTAAGATTGTTCTAGACACAAATACAAAACATTAAAGCGATTTATGTTTTATTACAGCAAATAACTGAAACACAGGAAGATTAGATTATTTTTGTTGTCAGCTGCGTTTTCAGCAGCTTTAATATATTACAACTGTGAGTGGATCTATATGGCATTTATTCATAGTTTGGAGAACGCTGGTTCTTAACCCTGGCCCTGGAGGGCCGGTATCCAGCATGTTTTAGTCGTTTCTCTGCTTCAACACACTTGATTCAGTGGCTG